TTTTACAGAACGATCTGCCATTTGCAAAGTCATATTAGTAACTTTTAATTCTCCCATATTAAGTTTAGCATAGACAAACGATGGCATAACACTGACACTGGCACCCAAATCACACAAAGTTTTATTAATAAAAACATTTCCTATATGACAAGGGATAGAAAAACTACCGGGATCCTTTAATTTAGGAGGGGATTTATTTTGCAATAAGGCACTACATTCCTCTGTAAAAGCTACAGTTTCTACCTCATTAAAGGCCCTTTTCCTAATAAGAATGTCTTCCATAAATTTAGCATATGCAGGAACCTGAGTGATTAAATTAGTGAAAGGAACTGTTACCTGCAAGTTTTTCACAACCTCTAATAACTTACCGAAGTGTTTATCAAACTTAATCTTCAATTGTCTATTAGGGAACGGTAGTTTGATAATTGGTCTCTACACATCTCCTCCCTTATCCCGAGATTTACCCTGCAAAGAAAAATTAGAAGGGTTAGTATATGTTTGTAGCCCTGCAGGGTTAGCAGGATTAGCGTTATGTATAGAGGAATCTGGATCAGGAACTGGTCCATCTTCCTTTGGCATAGGAGGTCCATCATAATGTGAACCACTCCTTAGAGTGATTGCATTGGCATGATATGTGGGATGGATTGGTTGTGATGGTAGAGCTCCCTGCTGACGGGTTTGTAGGGTAGATGAAAGTTGTGCAATTTGATTATCCATGATTTTATTATGGGCTAAAATAGAATCAATTTGCGCATCCCTACTCTCCATATACCTTTGCATGTTAGTAAGCATTGCTCTAATTTCTGTCATAGCAGGGTCAGAAGATGATGAGGGTTGCGCTTGGCTTTTTAGGCCAGAATTTGGATGGTAATATTTCTGCTGTGGTGGGGGTTGTTGTTGCGGTTGTTGTGGAGGTGGAGGGTTTTCTACATTGGTACTCCGGTACGAAAGATATGGATGGTTCCGGTAACCAGGATTATAAGAGTTGGAATATGGGTTATTCTTCCTATAGGTTTGGAAGGCATTAACTTGTTCCATGGAACTCCTACAATCTTGCTCCCAATGCCCTATAATTCCACAATTTTCACAAAAAGCTTCATTATTAGCAACAACAGAAACATTACCTACAGAGTTAGGAGTAGCAGTAAGATTATCTAATTTTTGACAAATAGATGTTGAGCTTGCAAAAAGGATACGAAATCGACATTATGCTTTCCTTTATTTGCAAACCCTCTCGGATTCCCATATTGGGAATTGTGTATTGCCATAACTTTGATAACCTGTCCGGCGTCGTCCACATTTAAATTCATGAATCTCCCACTAGCTGCAGAATCTAGAATTGATCTAGATGAATTTCCAAGTCCATTGTAGAAAGCTTGGATCAATTGCCATTGTGCTAAATTGTGGTGGGGGCATTCTCTCTGTAGATCCTTAAACCTCTCCCAATCTTCATATAAAGTTTCATCGGCCTCTTGAGCGAAGTTCTGAATAGCAATCCTTAGTACAACTGTTCTCTCTGCAGGATAATATTTATTATAGAAATCAAGGCAAGAGTTTCCCAGTCAGTAATACCAAGTGCAATTCTATTCAAACCATTAACCCATAATTTAGCTTTGCCACATAATGAAAAGTGAAAAAAAATCTCCCTGATTTGGTCCTGCGTGACCCCGGCTTGTCTAATGGTGTTACAATATTGGCAGAAATCTGCAATGTGAAGATTAGGATCTTCACCCTTAGCTCCACTAAATTGTTTCCTCTCTATCATATTGATAAATTGGGGCTTAATTTCAAATTGAACTCCATCTAGGGCCGGAGTAGGAGTAAGGTGCGGAAAATCCGTGAGCTTCGGCTGCAAGTAGTCACTGAACTTCTTTTGGGCCGTCATCTCTGATTCTGAAGGAATTTCTGTGTCGCTAGAATCAGATGGAGGGTCTCTTCGATTGTTGTCTTCCTCAGAACCCGCCAGAATTTGTCTATAAAGATTCCTTTGCCTATGAAACGAGCGATCGATCTCAGGATCGAATGGGATGTAACCTGATCTGGAACACCTAGGCGTAAACAAGGAACTAAAAGACAAATATGATAATTGCCTCAAAGAACTAATGTTCTCTGAGAAAAGAGGGGATAATCTAGACTACAAAAAATAATCAGAAAATAAAAATAAAACCATTTCCCCTACAACGGCGCCAAAATTTGACAGGCTCAAGTCGTATTCACCTAATCAAAAATAAAACCTAAGTCCACTAACTATGTAGATAGGGAAGAAGGGTCAAACCATAGGGAAATAGGTCAATTTATTCCTAATTAATTAAAATCAATCTAAATTATCAAGTAACCAAATTATTATAAAAAGGGTAATTAAACTACTAGAAGTAAGAGTAGGAAGGAAATAAAATAAGAGGTGAATAAATGAAAGAAAAGCCTAGGACATAGGTTCACCAATAAACAATATTCCAGGGTAAATCATAATAAGCAATCATCAATGCATCAATTAATCAAATTATAAAGGGCTTTCGCTACGTATTACAATCACAGAGTTAATTTACCGGCATTAAATCTCATCTCTCAAATCTCGACTTAACCATTTATAAATTAGTCCACCTATTGAAAATAAGCCTAAACATCAATTCTCTCTCGAATCAATATTGCTAAACTCATACAATTAAATCTGGTTAAACCTAATTGCATAGCATTAAATCAATCAATAGAAAATTAATCAAGCATTGATAATCAACAATCACAAATTACTCCTTCATATTATTTATTAGATCCCCATAAACCCTAGAAATAAAACTACTCAAGCATAATTAAATCTAAACTAATCAAAATAATAAAACAAGACATGATTAAAGAATTAAAGAAAATAACTGAAATTAAAAGAGAAGAAATTGTTACCAAAAGAAATCTGGATTAAGGAATGTAATTAAGAACAAAGTAGAGAGAATTTAAGAGAGAGAAAATATTCTAAGTAGTGAGAGAGAATCTAAAAGAGAAGGTAATCAAAATTACGTACAAAATCGTACTTAAACATCCCTAAAACAAATCCTAATTGAAAACTAAAACTTCAGCTCCAAAAACACGCGACCGATCGGGCACGCCTTTTTTCCTTCACTCTTCCTGGGCAGCCGCGCTCGATCGAGCTTACGCTCACCCGATCGGTCACGCCTTCTTGCTGATGCTTTCTTGTGCGCGCCCGCCCGATCGGGCGCAAGCTTGCCCGATCGGGTCCGGCTTCTTCTTCGAGGCTTGGACTTTGATTGGGCTCGATTCTTCGGCCCAATCCGGATTTCCTCTTTGGGTCTTGAATACTCGATCCAAATGCCCCGGTACCACATACCGAGCCCTTAATCACCGGCTCTAACCGGTCTTGGGCTTCAAAGACGGTCGTGTCCTCCGGCTTAAAGCTCGTAGTTGCTCCATGAAAAACCCGGAAAACGCTCCAAATGTGCAATTTCCTACAAAACTCAAGCAAAACTACAAAAACACTAGAAAACACTAATTAGTACTAAAAGTGGCTTTAAAGAGCCAAAAACACTACTAATTAAGACCAATGGACGGGGGTAAAACACTATATAAATTGGACATATCATGTGTTTGTTGGCCTTGTCTTTATCTTGGCCCTACAATGAGCCATTTATAATGGAGAGTAGTGGAAACAAGTATAGAGAAGCTTTTTAGGTGATAAAACATATTCATGAATGGGCATGACTGAAGAGCGAATCATGCTAGTTTTCATAAGTATATGATGTGTTTATTGCTTTATTTATTTATGACATTATTATTATGCGTGACTAACGAAAAGGTTTTGAGTTCGGTTTTGTTTTAATAAGGGCCTACAAGGGTTCCAAGTTTTAGGTTGATTAAATTTTACTTCGTTTGACTTTGGTTTGACTTTACTTTCGTTGATTGACTTTTCAAGTTGACTTTTTTTGAATGGTTTTGAAATTTGTCTTCCGCCGTGTGTCTTTGATAGTTTCCTTAACCATTTTCACGGCGGCGGTAATGTCTTAGATATTCCTATTTAAAGTTTTAAACAGGGCAAAACATGTATTTTAAAAGAAAGGAATTTCTTGGGTGTTACAGCTCCGACAATAAAAGGGGTGTTGGTGACTACTTAGTGGTAGTTGTGCCTTGGCTGTTAACGGCAAGGGGTTGGTTTAAGGGAGGCTTATTGTTATTTATTTTTAATTTAAATCAATTTTTTTTAAAGAATATCGTTAAAAAAACTGCCAAGTGCCAATTACGTTGACACGTGTCACATCTAACCTGCTAAATATGTCACTAACTAGTCACATTCTATTTTGAGCAGATGTATGTCATAGGTCATTTTATTCCGTAATAATCAAAAGGTTGTTTTATTTTTGGAAGACCGGTGAAAGGTCGTATTATTCTTGACAGTTTTTCCTTTTAATTAAATTATAATAAAATTATGGAAAATTCTTGTAACATAATTTTGTTATTATAATAAGAATCACTTCTATTAAAAACTGAGAAATCACAAAATCTAATTGAAATTCTTATTAGATATGTGAAAAATTCTAATAATTATTTAATAATAATTAAATGACCATATACTAATATATAAACACTAGTGGAAAAAAGCCATCCGTAACGGGCAAAAACTGCCTATCCGTAACGGGCAACGGCCGTTACGGATGGCCTTTCTTATTCGTAACGGGCGCCGTCCGTTACGAATAACCCCGTTATTCGTAACGGGCACCTGAAAAGCCCGTTACGAATAACCCATTAGTAATGGGTTATTCGTAACGGGCTTTTCAGGTTCCCGTTACGAATAACGGGGTTATTCGTAACGGGCTTTTCAGGTGCCCGTTACGAATAACCCCGTTATTCGAATAACCCCGTTATTCGTAACAGACAGGTTCTGCCCTTACGAATACTATGAGATCCAATTAAAAAAAAAATCCAGCACATGGCTGGACAGCTAGCCTGAAAAATTATTTTATCAAGTACAGTATACACTTAATAATAACCGAATAATATAGAATCAAGAAAAGTTGCTTTTATTATTTCCTAACTAAAACTAAAACAAAGCAAAAGCAAATCATTGTAATAATAATTAAACAAGTTTACATAAGACTACCTAAAATAATAAATCGTCTATTCTAGCCATAATGTAAATGCTAAGCTCTCCAAAACTCTTGGGTAGCTTTGCCGCATTGCTTGCCCAACATCCTGCACGACAAGATAAATGCAAAATTTGAGTACTTTCATCACTTTGTTTAACTATGAATTTTAAATCCAAGTGGGAACAACAATACGATATTACATCTGGGGTAATTAGCAATGATGCAGCAAATTATGGGGCATTGACGAAGTACCTTGTTAAACTGTATCAGGCTCATATCTAGAGCTGTTTATAGCAATCTACTCTGGTCTCCCTCTGGGTCAGCTATCTTCTGAACAATGACATACATCTCCCAACATGAATCCGTAACATCAATAGGATTGCTACCTGTTGCCCATACAAACATAACAGATTATACTCCAACAAAAGAAAACAAATCAATAAATTCACAAAGACAGCAAAACAAGACACATATACTTTTGCTATGAGGCTTCCATTTCTTGCAAACTTATACATCTGAATTTTTCTCAATTTTTTAAATACTCAACTTCATATGTAATTTTTGTGCACTAAAAGACCGAATTCCCCTCAATGGACTCAGCAGGAAGACAAATGCTCCCTTCTCATGTTAGTATAAATAAGTAAAACAACTCGATTATCCTACATCACTGAAAATGACTATCTAGTACAATCATACAAGGAGAGAATAAAAGAAGAAATGTCTCTGCCAGTCTCGCTAAATCAGAGGAAAGCAAACACCTTAAACTCACTTACTTAGTACCTAGGAACATAAGACCTTCATGCTTGAGTAGTTGTACCTCTCAGGATGCATCAATCTCAGAGAAAACCAAATGCAAAGAAAAAGACAGGACATATTGGACAATAACATTCAAATTTGGACGACAAGAGCACATATTCTAGTAGCAGAAGTAATACCACTTCTCGATCACAGAAAAATAGACAAAGGAGGGTAAATCTACAAAACTCTACAGACTGATATCAATATCAATAAAAGCAATAACTTTCACTCAGATGAAATACAAGCATAAGGTATTAATACACATTGTACTGGACTGATCAAGGGCACAGTTTAGTGCTTGTGTATTCAAATTTAGTTGCAGCAGCCAACTAAATGAAAATGAAGATTAAAATAATAATACAAGCACCATTACACCTATATCAAGCAACAATGGTAATAATAAGCTTCTCACCTTAGGCAAAGACTCCAAGTAAACATTAGAAATCTCCATCTCAGCAATGACACTGGTATTAATTGCCATAGCAGCCTTGAGAATTTGGTTAATACAATCTCTACACTGCTGGAACCTCTTCCTAGCATCCTCAGACAACCCACGAGGCGGACTTTTGGACAAGGCAACCACCACTTCTCCTCCTGTCTAACAAAAGGCCGACCATTAGACACCGCTGTTTTAAGAGGATCCCGATCAAAACAATGTAAAATAAAACAAAGTAATTACACTAGACAACAAAAAACAAACAATGTAAAATAAAACAAAGTAATTATACCAGCAAGATTGGTAATTGCATTTGAGATAGCAAGAGCAGTGCAAACACCCTTTCCACCACCAGACATGTCCCCTCCCAACAACAACTTTGCAAATCTCTCCTTCATCAACTCTACCCCTGTACACATCAACAAACACAAAACCTAAAAAAAACCCAGAAATTATTATTTAATTTTTTTCAGATATACATAGAAACAGTCGATATAATGAAAAAAAATAATCATAAAAGATGCTTAAAAATGGAAATAAACACAATTTATCAATACTTTGACTTATTAGTTATTACCAATAGATTAAGCCACAGATTTATAATACAAGGTCACCATTTTTTCACTTACCCAAAAAAAAAAAAAAAAAAAAACAAATTAGACAAAAAAATAAATATAAAATGACATTATTATGATAAATCCAATCAGTCTCCATTCGTAGAAATTTCGCCATAGATATATCCAATTTTTAAAAAAAAAATAAAAAAAAATTATAGCCGACACATTAAACTGAAATTTCTCCCAAAAAAAAGCAACCCAAAACACTAAATTAGAAATGTCATTATACTAGTATAGTAAAATTATATAAATTCACATCCAATTTTCAAGCATAAATAAATTAAGTGAAAAATCGCAAAAAAATCATGAAACAAATTACATTTCTCAAACATAGAAGCAATCTTATATCATCATGTATCAATCAAACATATAAAATACCAAATAAAATAGATCGAAAAACAAAAAATCCAGAGAAAAGTAGGAAATACCCTCGAACAGTACGCCAGAAGATCTTAGAAGGAGTACGGAAATGAATAGGACCATGAGAAGGTTTGGTGTTCATCCTCTTACGAAGAAAGCGAAGATACTTCATCTTCTGCCTAACAAGACCACCAGAAAGTGCGATCTCTTCGCAACGAACCATAACAATACGCTGCCCAGAAATTGTTGCGCAAATTTGAAACCCCCGTCAATAAACCCCCATCAATAAACCCCCGTCTCTTCTGGTAGCGTTGAGGAAAAACCTTCAGAAGGATCCGGCGCAACCCCGTTAATAAACCCTTGGATCTATCAAGCAAATCAAAACCCCGAATTTAACCATTTTTTCTCTAAGATTGATGGAGGAGAGGAGAGAAGATTGAGTTCGAAATGAGAGAAACAGGTGAATGACAGGGAGGAGAGGAGAGGAGAGGCCAGATAGAGAGGGAGTGAAAACCGTGAAACCCTAATAAAAAGCCTAATGGGCTCCTCCAAGTTGGGCCAAGTTTGGGTATTTGTACGTGTAATATAGTATTTGTAACGGGCAAAATAGTGTCCGTTATGAATATTTATTTATTCGTAACGAGCACTAATTTGTCCGTTACAAATACATATGTATTCGTAACGGACACTATTTTGCCCGTTACGAATAAATAAGTATTCGTAACGGACACTATTTTGCCCGTTACAAATAAATAAGTATTCGTAACGGACACTAGTTTTTCCGTTACGAATATCTTAATTGTAACGGGCAAAGCTTTGCCCGTTACAAATAGCCTGTTACGAATGAGATTTTTTCCACTAGTGAAATGAATAATTACCAAAATAAAAATGAACATTCATATATAAATAAAAAAAATCCACTACGAACTAAATTTACATTTCCATAATTCTACGAAATGAATCAAATTATTCATTATATATATTAGGAAAATTGAACTCTATTTTAATTTTTTGTCTAGTAATTGTATAAGCTAATAACACACACCACAATTTAAATCAACTTAAAACAGAGTATATAAAACATCATTCTACTATAATATTAAGAAATCATTATTACCAAGTAAAATCATAAGAAATCATGAACTACTACTATTGAAATTTCATATTATTGAAGAGCAAGGCAAATAAAAAGTTAGGGTTTGATTTTTTTTTTTCGAAAAATATACAAAATCATCAACTTACAATTTGAATGATGGTTGTTCTTTTGTAGAAATTTCTTCGATTTCTTGATTTTTTTTTACAAGTAGATATTTAAGAGCATTTTCATTTATTTTCCAAGAAATATTTAGTAGATTTTGGTAGTTTAGGAGAGAGAAAGTGGTAAAAATTATGAGTAGAGAGAAAGTGGTAAAATTATGAGGAGGGAGAAATTTTAAATGTTAGTAAAATCATGAAGAAAAACTGATTTATAAGAGGAGAGAGAAAATGTAGGAAACTAAAGGGGGGGGGTTGTAGGTACTATGGTAATTTAGTTGAGGAAGGGGTGTAGCCGTGTAGGCAATGATGCCTAAAGGGGGGTGTAGGTAGCAACAACTATCTAAACCAGGCACATATATCCAAGAAAATAAAAATCAGATTAAACCAAGCCTAAAATGTAGTACTTCCTTCGTCCTTAAATTAAAAACTTCTTTCTGTTTATTATGTGAGTAATAAATGCTCTTAAAATGTAGTACTCCCTCCGTCCTTAAATTAAATGTAGTACGCACAAGTAAGTAATGCACAAGTAGTCAAATAGTCACAATATGATGCAATGATTTGCAATTTAACCATGGCTCAAGTTCTCTAAAGTTCAAGGATAAGGGTTAGTAAAAAAAAGGGTCCATGCATGGTTATGAGTTCGGATGCACCGCGCGGAAGCCTTACCTTTGGAAGGGTTGGCGTGTGTGGATGAGACCCCACGAGTTAAATTAAACTTGCTTCCATGGTTTGGTGAATTTAACAAACTCGGATGTACCCTTCGCTGCCATGAGCGCTCAATTGGGTAGATGGAGCGTGAATTTTCAGAGGGTTATGGCCATATGTAGAATACATATGGGTTCAGAAAAGTGAGAAAAATCAACCAGGACGTAAAATCGAGCGAACAGTACTAGAATCGTTCAAAATAAAGAAGGTAGATTTATGGCTCGGTGTTGGAAGAACATGACGCAAGACAATAGGGCATGTCACCAGAAGATAGCTCTATCGCCAAACGACATTGCTGTCGCTTTTCTCGGAGGTGATTCCTACATGCTTCAACAACTTTCTGTTCTTTGAATTTTCCGATTTTTCGTAGCGTTTTTTCGATCCTAGTTGTGAAAGATATCTCCCAAATTTCCTATGTGTAAAAATCCTATGTTTTTGACGCATTACGAATGGTCTTTCCAATGCGGACCTTTTTATGCTTATGTCAATAATGTCAATCAAAATTACGCACATGAATACTTAGAACTTTTCAAGTCTCATCCACTCATTCTAAATTATTACCAAAATAAATTTTAGGAATTAAAATAGAAATCCTCCCCAACGTAGTCGCCAAAAAAACTTTAGGGAATATTTCAAGCATCCGACACTTGAGCCCACTGTGATCATACACTTAAGTATGGTGGCGTCCAAAGGGAAGGAAGCTAGAGCAAAAAAAGTCACCAACATGTTTTAGGAACTTGTAAACCGTTCGCAGGGTGAAGGTTACACCCCTTCATGATCCATGAGATTGCTAACTCCACAGTGGTTTGGGACCATGACTGGATACCTGGGCATGAAGGTACAAATCCAACCTAAAAGAGATTGAACCTGCCCTAAAAATAGGCCTCTACTTTATTCTTCTCATATTCATGTGCGCTTTCAGACTAACATACAATCAATATATTAACCCTAAACCTGTTTAATCTATGTTGGTTGAGTATTAATGCACAAACAAAACTATTATTGGCGATCACTTGAATTATAATCATATTAGCCTAAACAGGATAATTAATTATCTTATTAAGCGTGATTATAAGTACAAATTCCCTTTAATCCTGCAAGAGAGAGCGTGATCAAGAAATAACTATAATAATATAATATCAAGCAGCAATAATATTGATACAACAAATCATCATCGTAATAATCTCAATCTCATGAAAGCATAATAATATTAGCAAGATCCTAGGCATGATACTAACAAGATTAATAACAAATCCTAGCATGTCACTAAACATTAAAGATCAAATCTCTATCCATAACCTAAACATGATACTAGAAACATACATGATATTAGAAATATTAGTTATTACCCTAAATATGATACTAGGATTCATAAAGACATCCTAACATGATACTAGGAATTAACAAAATAATCTAAGCAAGCTTTATACGGAAATAGAGCAATAAAACAACTTTCTTGGTTGCCTCGTATCTCTTTCTAATAAAAAAATACACGCGTTAGTAACTTCAATGAAAAATTAAATCAAACAATTAAATCAAATAATTAAAATAGATATTTGTGACCAAACCCTCAGAATTTATCAACCTTTCACGTCTAGGGCAAAGCAACTTCGAACTTGGATAAATGTGCCTAGATCTCGTGAATAAATAATATTGTATTTTGTAAAAAGGTGTGGAAGGGCTTAGAAAGAGGGAGAAAGAATAAGCTTCTAGCTTACAGAGAGAAAATAATAGAATTAGATGATTGTTGGTGATTAAGCTTGTTGATGATTGAAAAAGGGGTGATATGACCTCTACTTATAAGGAAAAAAAGAGGGCCGAAGGAATAGAAAAGAATCCGATTTCGAAACGAAATAAAACTCGGCGGTTAACAGTTTTTGCATATTTTGTTTTTATCATAACTTTTGATCCAGAAATCCAAATAAGACATATAATATGTCGTTGGAAATATCTTGAAGTCTAATTTCCAACCCAATTATAATCAGATTGAAATATTTTGTAGATTAAATATATAGGCGAAATAATAGGACAATGTCAGTTTTGGATAGAGTTTCGTATTTCTTTTATGTCTTTTTCGTTATTATAGCTCGGAATAAATATTATAATATATCATTAGAAAGATAATTTCAAGATCTATCCAACCATATAGGATTTGGATAAAAATTATGAGGCACGAAATTAATATCTGAACATATTCCATTTCGCACAGAACAAGGACTCTCAAAAAGTGAAGTTTTATTCAATTTTGAATTATTTGATCTTATCTTTTCAAAAACGGATAATTAAGATCTTTTAGAAACTTATAAAAGTTTCTAATAAATCCTAATTAGTTTATGAATGGGATTAAATCTTTGGACCCTCCACATGATCATTGGGTCGTAGGTAAAATTCGGATTGATCCTGGTTTAATATTTTGGCCATAACTTCTACAAATTTTTACCTGCATTCTAGTGTAGGTAGAAGTCCCTATACCCCCTCCCCACTGTATCATCCTAAACCCTCCCCCACTATATATCCCCTATCCTTTTATTTCCCCCTTCCAAATTATAGCAACTATCACTGCATATTTCCTCCAAATTATATATCCATCTTTAATTTATCAACTCTAACTCTAGAAAAGTCCATTTCTGGCTATTTCACCGTCATTCTCTTCTTCTCTGGCGACATTCTACAACTCGTCCCGTTCGAAGGACCACCGTTTTATAAACTCTAGAAAAATCCCAAGATTGATTACTACTCGATTTTTATAAAGAATTACAGATCTTAAAAATTAAATTTAGTGGCAATTTCAGCTGTGCTTCTAGTGGCAACAGTTTTGGTTATGGAGGTAGTCGTGGTATGGTGGCGGTAAACGTATTGAAAGCAAGGAATTGAAGGAAGGCTTTGATTACATGGAGTAGAAGTAGATGTGGATGATGATATTTCATCACATCACCACAACCATGGATCGTTCGTCACTGAGAAAGCATGACGGTTTGAACTAATTTGGGATGCCGATGGGGCTTTAAATATCGAACAGAGGAATTTCAAAATTGTTGACAAACTTTAATTTTTTTATTGAACATGTAATATTATTTAAATGAACATTTTTTTTAATGGTTGTAAAAATGAATATTTATTTAAAGAGCATTAAAATTAGCATATTGCGATTAACGTAGCAGTTGCAAATTTAATAATTGATCAATGAAAAAAAAACATTTTTCAATTGAAAACTATGTACTCCATATCTAAAAGTTAATAACATAAAAAAAAATTAATAAGATATGTTAATTGTAAAACATTCAATAATATGCAAATGAACATTTAGCATTATGAATATGTATTATTTCGATCTTCATTTTTATATGCGTAAATGTTCATTGTTACATAATATAATAAATTTTATAAATATAACTAATACATATAATAACTGTTTCAATATCAAAATGAACCTTTAAGTATGTGTATATGTTCATTTAAATTAAATGCATGTAATTGTACGTTCAGTGTGAAATTATCATGAATAAAAATAAAAATGAACATGTATAAAAATAGAAATGAACATTTGTATAAAATAAACATGTGTAGCATTTTCTAATATGTTTTTA